TATCCCCTGTGTGCCTTGTCGACTCAGTACCACCACCACCACCACCACCCACCACCATCCACCTCAACTACCCATCACCACCATAGGATCATTTATCGGAGTTTACCGACGAGCACTCTGCGCTCAGTAAACTTATAAGCAAATTATCCAAGAATCGTGCAATAAGTCGAAAACTGCATATATTAAATTCGAGTTTTTGCAAGTGACGAGTTCGATCGATGGAACAGACGCACATTATATAATATATGTTCCACGCGCGTTTAATAATTATTTTGACAGTGAACGTAAAGTATGCACACAGGGAAGGAAGTCGAGAGAATACTATATACACGTGATTTTAATAGACATTCAGCGAATCGGTATCGTTTCGAAAATGTTGATACTAATTGGCCGCTTGTTATTGTTTGACTGTCAATTGAGGATTCAGCGCGTTTGCATAAGCCAGCATATCAAGAAAGAATAGTCGATAAAGAACTCTAAAGTAAAGATTGTCCAGGTTACAGCAGTTTTTCCATTTACCGTTTTTGAAATGCAGATTGCGCGTGAGACAGTGCCGAGATCGCGCATAATATACGCGCACAATATACGGAAAAAATAGCATTTTTCCCATAATTCACTTTATTGAAAGATAATTAAAAATAACTTTGTCACATTGCGTTTCCTTCATACAGTCATTAATCATTTCCATTTTAATGAATTAATTAAGCGTAAAGTACATTTGCTTAAATTCACGCGCATTATCATTGCGTAGCCGGAACAAAAGTGGAAATAGCAAGATAACGAAAACTTTGGACGAGAAATCTTTCTTATATCCGTGAAAAATAATAACATGCGTTATGTACAGTTTCTATCTGGTGGAAAGCCCGCGGGCATATATTTTGTATAACATATGTATGTATAATATATATGTACATATATACGCGCGCGACGGTACAACTGCATTTGCTACGTGCTTTCGCACTGTGCGGTGAACACTGATCGGCGTTCGAGCACGAAAACATATGACATAATTGTTTCACAGAGCAATTTTTATTACCGCCCGTACGAGCTATAATTGCAATTAGTTAATTGTAACTCTAAAAAACTCTATTAAAACGATCGATCGATTCTTTTAAATTTTTACAAAAGTCTGTAATCTGCTTAAATTCTTACACACACACACACACACACACACACAGAATTAAGGCTTTATTATACCGATTACGTGTATGTATACTGTTCGACACTGATTTTGAATGGTACTAATACCATTCAAAATTTTGCATACGTTTAATATTATATCTAAATATAATATTAAACGTATGCAAAAAGAGCACAACTTAGAAATGTCAATTCAAATCGAATTTGTTTTACATTTAATTAATATTTTTTAATATTTTGGTTACATATATATATTGATCGATTTAGTACGCGTCCAAGGAGAAAAACTAGAGCTGCAAAATCACGATATTCTTACCTTTAATTTTTGCATTTCGTACGTACTTATATTTAATAAAAGCGTCTTCACGCTACAAAGAGTTATTGCACCGTTTCTTTCCGCGCGGTGTTTCTGTCTCGCGATCCTGTGATCCGTGATTAGTCGCATGGATCTCTCGGTAGTTTACGCTACAAAAATGTCTGCCTCTGCGCGATTTCAGACTTTCTCGCTAAAATTGTTTGACAGTCACTTTATCGCGCTTCACTGCGTTTCACTGTGTTGAGAAAGAAAAATTACATCAATACGCGAAGAATTGTCTTGATGCAAACTATTTTCGAATTAAAGTTCAATTCAATTCGTTTAGGCAGAGAGAGAGAGAGAGAGAGAGAGAGAGAGAGAGAGAGAAGGGGAAAGAAGAAGAAATCATATTTCCAAGATTTATCCTTGTTTGTGACAGCTGCAAATTTTTTCGTAGAATCGAAAAACGCATCTCAGTTATTTTGGTATCTCATATCGTGATTCCTCGTTACACGGTAAAAGTTATTATCTTAATATTGCATATTGGGGAAACAAGTAAAAAAGTAAGTAAAAAATGTGATCGAGGATCGATACAATTTGGTAATGTCCTGGCAACCAATGAGAAAAATTGATTTGTTACTTCTGTAGAATTGTAAAACTTGTTTAGTAAAACTTGAATCTTATTATTAACGTTGTTGGCTGTTAGAATAATTTTGCGCGTTTTGAGCTCTTGAAAATTGAATTAGCTAGAATGGTAGTGTAGGTATCATTTGATTTAATACAAAGTTTTAAATTGGATTTGGCTGCATGCCATGGAGTGAACCGTGCGCGTGAAAACGCAGAAACGCGGGGAACGGTGCCTAGCTGAAACGGTACCGACTTAAGCGATTCAGTTTGAAAAAAGAACGTTGAAGCTAGATGCAACGTACATACGTAGGATGCCGATTGTCCATCATTGTCGATTTCCGTATATTCCGTCGAACCGGTCGAACTCGCGTAATATTGTATAAATGTGTAATGTCCACTCTCAAGCGACGCGCACTATACACGCGGGTATAGTGCGTATAACACATATTGTATCGTACGATTTTGTGCGCACTGTATAAATAGTTTCTGTCAACTGTAAAGAGCTCGCACTAATTTTTCTTCGTTATCTTCAAGTCCGTGCTTTGAACTTGGCCGATATATATGATGCGTCATCCATCCCATTTGCGTTCCATCACCATTGCATTTACAGTTTTATACAGTTTTATACGATTGCATTTACAGTTTTATTTTATACGTATATATGTATAGCTAGAAATATAGTTGCAGATATAAGCTAGGGAAACTAAATAAAGCTAAGCAGACTAGTTAATCCAAATCGAATAGTAAATGAAATAGAATCGATTGAATGGATTCTCCTTCCCGTCTTCCATGGATTCAATCGTTTGAATGTACATACAAACATACATTTGACGTGATACCTGCGACTGTGATAATTATTTCTAACGCAAGAAAACGCCAAAGAAACCGGGAAGATGAGAGGCGAGAGAGAGAGGCGAGAGATGAGAAGCGAAAGCTAAAGGCGGAAGGCAAGAGGAGATGACAGCGGCGAGGAAGTGAAATTTAGTCTCTCCGTTTAGATCGTTGGAAACGTTTCATTATGATCTTCTTTTTGCGCAACGCGGATATCACATCGCGGTTACACACGATTTCCGACAAATCATTTTCCCACGGCAAATCGACATCCGAGATGGTAAATCCGATCGATCTCTCATCAGCTAGCTTCCTCTCCCGTAAGAGCTTGTCCCGATTTTGTCGGCTCGTTAAGTTAGATAGGTCTCTTGGTCTCTTGGCAATAATAAACGAACGCTACAGGATGACTGGAAAAATGTCAAAAGAACAATTAAGTCTTTATATATAAGTATCTTAATAAGATTTAGAATTATAATACGTGCGTATGTATAATGTATGTATGTACATACATACAATTGATTGAGAGTGGCGCCAGCTAATCTAACCGAAAACTATTTGATAAGAATCGATGCAACTCGCAATCGATTAAAAATTGCCGAACGGTACGATAGGGCGATAGCCCGGCGATAGGTCGTGGTAAGCGACACGTCACGAGGTCAACGAGGTGTGATAAGCTTCCAAAATGTCAACCTGGTTCAGTGAATTCAAAGAGGAACCTAGCAAAATCTTAGGGTCTCGTCGTGTCCAACATTCAGATTTATCACATTTAGAGCTCCTGATACGTCCGACGACTCACGAAATTTTCGGAGATATAAAATTGGAACAACTCTAGTACTTAATTGTAGCCAGTCACGTCATACATATATATGTATACTTAATTGATGCACGCGCACTCGCGCATTTGAAACTCGCTCTCATTACACACACACACACACACACACACACACACACACACACACACACACACACACACACACACACACAAATATATATATATATAAATATATATATCTATATATATATCTGTAATATTATATATATAAATCATAAATCGGTGCACTTCTTCTTGTGCGCGTGCACCTTGATGTACCGTTACATAAAATTTGCAGCGAGACTTGTTGCCTCTCGGTGCTCCAACATAACGAAAGACACGACATTGTCTCGGGGATATGCCTCTGCAATTACCCCAATGTACCGTCCGTATCACCGTGCGATTGGTTGACCTGGTTAAAAACGATCTATGGGTAATGTTCTGTGTTTGCGTCGCAAATTAATAATCACGCGGTAGCAAACTTATATCGTATGTCAGATGAGTTTACGACATTTGCAATGTGTTTTCCGAAAAGTATTTCCGCTGCCACGGAAAGGAACACAATGTTCGTACACTTGCTGGTATGGGACGAGCGTTACTCGAACGAGTTTCTCGGGGAACTTTTGGCTGCGGTATTTGATAATACTACCTATTGCCAGTATGTGATCCTCGTGGTACCTCCTCGAGTTACCCCAGGTGTGATCTTTTTTATCTAAATTGTAGATCTATGATTTATCATGCTTTTCTGCATCAATTCTACGTACTTCGGAAGAGAGATATTCATATTTGTGTTCCCTAGTGAATTCGAGCGTGTTCGAACGGGAGATGACCAAAGTCTTGGCTAAGACCGCCGTGCGAGATATCGCGGTGCAATTTCTCTATCTGATCAATCGACATCGATTACGTCCAAAGTTGAAAATACGGAGAGTCGTGTGAGTCAATTTTATTTGTGATTGATTGTTGCACTTTCAAAATTCACCGAAATTTGCATTTTTTTTCTACGTACATCTATGCGACATTAATTGTTTCATAATATCTATCGTATCGTATGTATACACATGTATCATTAGAGAACAAGATAACGACGACGTGATAGCAATTGTCGACGGTGAAAGTACGCATTTAAAGAAGCTTTATGGAGAGTATTGTATCAGTGAGATGATTCGTCATCCGAGCAGCTGTCGACAATTGATCATCGGCGAGGATATCGATGGCTCGGCAGTGGGCGTCATGTGTCTTAATACCATGGTTGATGTCGATCTGCTGAATGAGAATTTCGAGTTGACGCCATACAATGGTCTAAAAAAGCCGCAAGGAAACGCTTTGCCCGCTGTTAGATGCAACGAGATATCTCTCACGTATCCGACGTTGAACGGCGAAATAAACGTCTTCATTTTGGAGATGTTTGCGACACGCGATGAAATGAGGCCTCATTGGTCTCACGATTTCTTAGAGGCTGCTTTCGAGTGCTTCCCGCATTTAGAGTACTGCGCAATTCTACTTCCTTTCTCGCATCCATACCATCAGTTTCTTCAACATTTTGTGGTACTTATCAAAGTATTATATAAACTAACTAACCAACTATAACTAGCTAGTGCGAGAGATATTGCTCGATTACTTACAAATATTATTCTCGAGTATAAGGAAAGAAAAAAATTAGGGGCAAATGATTCTCCTTTTAATCTCATCGCATATATAATCAATAATAAGAAAAATAAAAAATGAAAATGCAGCGCGTGCCATTGAGATGTAACAGAGATTTCCCGATGACGCTATACATTATACATCGAGTGATTCTTCGCGAGGAGATAAGATGTCGCCGTGCTGAAGTACAAGATCGTGAAGTTATAGAGAAACTCTTATTTGCTACATCAACATTAAGACGCGAGATCCTGGCTGATTTTGATTTGGCAATGAATTCTCTACAACTCGATTTAGATTGTTTCGTCTTCGAAAGTAACGATATGATGCTAGGACTCGCTATACTGTGGTTATTACGTATATTCCGACTAGTAGTTTTTCATCGTGAAAGGTATTCAAATATCAAAGGTAACTAAATGTTGTGTTTTCTCATTTTATGTTTTGTAGCGTTGAGAGGCAGATAAATTTCGTTACGAATCATTACCATATAGAGGATTACGTGTCTGTGCAGAGTATTTCTCAAAATGATTACGGACGTCTTTTGCATTTCGTTCTCATGCCAATTTTTTCTGCTTACTATCGCTTCTTCTTCCGCGAGATCGCACGTTTAAGCGAGTTAACGGTAATCTTTTATCGGCTTTATCGTGAGGATGAGAGCTCATTGGTAAGTGTGCAGTGCAGTACGAAATAACAATAGTTAGCTGTGCTTCTAATCGTAAGTAAGAGCACCGAATTTTCATCCCTACATAAAAAAAATTATATTATACTCGTATTATATTATATTATAAATGAAAACTTAAACTCTATATTTAATCGATAGGAATTAAATTACTAGAGCCGCAATTATCGTACTGTACGTACTTATATATACTCTCGTAGCCATGGATGTATCCTTTGATAGCCTGTTTGAACGATATGATTCCGGTTGATCCTCGTAGACAAGCTGAATACGAATTCCCGATTATTCGGGATAATGATCTCAATAACTGCAGTGAAAATAACATAAAAGACGAAAGGGATGATGCCGATGAAAGGAATGATGAGTTTTCTCTATTCATGATATCGCCGAGACTAGCAATGATGCCACGTACAATTATCGATACAAGAATCGTTGTCGTTGGAGCATCAAACTGCGGAATTGCTTTCACGGAGTATCTGACTTTACGGTAAAATGTTTTCAATTGTAACACCTGCATGAATGTCGTGCGTGTTGACGATACGGAGCTTACCGAACGATGTGTGTCACCCTATCACGACATTATTTCAAAAATGTCCAACAATATTATGCCTGCATGTATATGCATGTATATAATGTATATATGCACAAGGGTTTCCTCTATCTCGTAGCCAGCTATTATCAATATCGAATTCTACAGATTAACACAACGTTATACACAATTGACAAATGTTACGCTGATATCACCGCACGGTATACCATTCGATAACAATGAATCGAATCGTGCAGACTACTGTGGATGCTTGCTTCCATTCCGAGGAAGGTTTCACTCGCGATATCGTCGCTGTGTAGCCGCACGAACTTGGATCAATATCGTCTATGGAACTATGACAGCGATCAACAGGTCGTCTTTCATTCTTATACATCTTTCATTCATTGATACATATATATATACGTACGAGATATATGTATACTATTTTATCAACAATTTCAATAACTCGAGTTAATTCAGAAACGCGCACGTTGACGAGATGACAATTTCGATTCTTTTGATTATATATACTTATATATAATATATATATCAAAAGAATATATGCGCACTCGAATTTTCTCACTCTTTTCTTAGAAGGGAGAAATATGTGACTGTGATGAACCAAGGAAATTTCTCGTACGATTATTTGGTCTTAACGTGCGGTTTGCAGTATCAGAACTCGACATTACGGGAAAAAATGAAAACGCAGAAGCAAAAGTAAGGATCGTCCATAATGTATACAATTATATACATATTATACATATTATATAGTATATATTGCAGTGCATATACAATGTGCCGTAATATATAAAGCTCTGAATTTACCGACGCAAAACTATATATATATACCTATTGTTACATATAACGTACGCCTTTATTTTTCAAGACAAAATAAGGTGCAAGACCAGCTGCAAGTACCATGGAATTGTCTGAGCATAAACGACGATATGGAAGCTTTTACTTGTATTAAAAAGATTCGATGGTTAACAGGGAACCTTAAAGAAAGGAGTAGGTTCAGTGATTAATCAAATTGCCGCTTTTTACACTTTTCGTTCTCTTTTCATCTTGTCACATTCACCAATTTGTCACAGAAGCGATATTTCTTTACGGACGTAATACCGATTGTTACTGTGCACTTGGCGGTTTGATTAAGCTCGGGATAAAGCCTTCATGGATCACATTGATCGAACCGAGTTCCTTGAAGTCCTGTGAAACGCGCGACCAAGCTTTATTTCACGATTACCAAGTATGTGATTATGTATCGTACGCTATATATGGTTCGCCACATTTATCCAGTCATGCAATACAGTTTATACATATCTCATATATATTTACAAAGAAAAAGAAAAAAATAGTATGCTACACACACACACACACACACGCATCAAAACAAAAACAATTCATAATGCTGTTAAGATAAAAGAGAATAGAGATACAGCAATATAATGTGTTTATACATATATATGTATATCTATTCTAAGGTGAACGAAATGGTGACAAATGCCATTTTACAAAGCGGAGTTGAAATTTTTTCCAAATGGAACATGATCGATTGGACTCTGCAGATAAAAAATGACGATGCAAAACTCATGATTGAGAGTGTCACAATTGAAAGAGAGGGCGAAACAAAAAAGTTGACTTGTGACGTTCTTTTCAACTTCTATGAGAAAACGATCGATTTAAACGCGTTTTTAGGTAAAAAACAGAATCGAGAGGCCATATTGTTCATCTAATTCATTTTCAATTACATTTATAATCGCGCGTTTAATCGATATCGAAAATTCGACTTCTCACATGGTTTATCATTTCAGCATTCTGTCAAGCCGATCTTATTTTCGATGGTTCACTGATAATAGACTCACAGTATCGGACCAACGATCCGTTTATTTTCGCCGCTGGTACTGTGACGAGATATTCTAGAAAATTTTACGCCAACGTAGGACAGCACAAACATTACAACAGCATGGAAATCGGAGAGAGAGTTAGTAGAAAACGAGAGCATTTTTAAAAGAAATGTATGATATCGTCGCGCGATCTATATTGTTATATCATACTTATTGTAACACACATTTCTCTCTTTCTGCATCCCGTCTGCATCTTTACTGAAGCTTGCGCAAATTTTATGGAAATTGATTGAGTGGGACGTGCAAGTTTCCGAACGAATGTCAAAGAAAGAGATCATGTATTTGACATCATCAACATTCCGTGCACCTGTCGTAATCGCTTGTATTCTGCCGGGTAATTACTATTATTTGCATGTACGTAGACCCGGAAAGACAACTTGGGATAACACAGCCTGCAAAATTAGTCTCAACCATTGTGTGAGTTAACATGGAGAGTCGAATTGGTTATTTGAAATGCAAATAATGTTATTTGTGTTTCACAGAGAGGCACTTTGTTATGACTCTCTCTCTCTCTCGCCTTCTCTTTCTCTCGCTTTCTCAATCTGCGAGACGTAAGATGTACGTTGCATTAACGTTGGTTTTTTTAATGCGCAGGATAAAGTATTTGTAACTGGTTCTCGCAAATCTGAAATTGGATACTTTCGCATCCAATTAAACGGCATACGACTCTGTGGAAAGTATAACCTGCGTAAGCAGAAAGGTAATCGCGTTATTCCGTCGTCAAATGAACAATTGCTCCAAGAGAAATTTCATATGTGTCGATTCGTCTCGGGACTTGGAACTAATGCCGTCACATCGTCTCTACATAATGACAATTGTTTTTTCAGACATTCCGAGTGCAAGACATGATTGCTTTGTATGGGAAACATGAAAGCATGTTAAACGAATTGAAATTCCGTTTTCGAGTAAGCGCGTGACGATATATTAGTATTATTGAAATATTTAAAAGCAATGCTATATTTCAGCGAGTTTATTATTTAATTTATCTACGTATGAATATTTCGTCCTTCTTTATAATTTCTCTGCAGAATTCATGCATTTCGGATTTCTACACCTACTTTTGCGAACCTTGGGCCGCGGCGATTTTCCATAATAGATTCGACTGCCTGCGCGTCGAAAATCGAGCTGTTTTATTCTCGCGAGTGGTAAGACGAACGGTTGCTCTTATTTAAATGTCATATGGAGTTGTGGATATGGGTATTCAGTCGATATTTATATGCTTATCTTCTTCGGCATACAGGATGATTCGACTTTGATCGACGATTGCGTTCGCATATTAGTCAAGTCAAAGTGGAAAACAGTAAGTATATAATTTTACCTACGAGTTTACGAAAACACATTGCCGCAAATGTATATATATTGTAACTCCTTCCGAGAGTAAGAACTATAATAGGCATCGACGCGTCTGATTATAATAATAATGACGCGATGACGCGAATAAAAGAGCTCAATCTTTGTGCAGATATCTGAAAAGGATCGACGTTACATCGAATCTAGATACGCTGGCTCGACTTATCATCAAAAACTCGAGAACAATCTCGTGAATTTTCTCGAGTTTTACGAGAATGATCTACCGATGTATTGTATTTTGCGTAAACAGCGCCAAATGTATAAGGACATTGCAGAAAGTCCGTTATATTTTGACCAATAAAACATTTTTACGATGTCTCTCGGTAAAAGAATTTGTGAAGTGAGAGAATTAACACAGGGCCGAAAAGAATATACCTATTATTTATAAATTACCTCTCATATATTACCGCATTTTATACCATATTATTATGAAATATATTTATGAAAACGGTAATGAAAAATTAAAAAGCAAACTCTAGACTTGCTGTATAATTTACAATTATATCTGCTCGCGACATAGCGTGTGTGAGTGCTGGTTTCTTTAATGCGCGCGTCAAAATGCTGTAAAATAAATCGATATAAAAAATCTTCATATATAATTAGTGACACTAAAATTAAGTTAAAGTAAATTTTCATATGATTCGTTGAGAACGTTTGAAACCATTGCTACGCGCGCTACGAAGACTGTACGTATATATAGCGATCAGTGAATCGTCGCGCGCAATCGCGCCACAGTAATCGCGCGTTTTTGGATTAAGATCAAAGTTGTGCGATCAAAACAGTCATATGCTTGACAAACGACTCTGCAGCCGACGTCTGCCTACTTTATAGTATTTGATATATATAACGTGATTCTATATCCGTGTACATATTATATATATATATATATTATGTATGTATGTATATATGTATATACGCCGTCCCAAGTCGTTTCATAACAGCGGTTGTAAAAAGGCAATGTCGCATCGCCTACGCCTTACTTTTCGCTTTACGTGGGATGTTTAGGGAAGAGTCGCGAATCGTAAAATTCTTCGAGCGGCATATGGTTCGAAAGCCGATAGATAGCACTTTAATAAAAATTAATTTCCGTACTGAAATTTAAATGCTGTGAAATTTCACTATTATGATCGAAAATATAATCGGTATACATCGATTAACGAAGAAAAGAATAATTGTAATCAAAGACACAATACGCTCGATCAAGTTTTTCTATTTTGTATTCATATATAACGCAGTTATAGACTTTCCGTCGAATTTTAGTTTTGTCGGAAAATATATCGGTTCGTAAAATATTTTGTCATATTTGTTTGCTGCTCATCTTATATATATTTACGCGTGCCAATTTTTTTCTTTCTCTTTTCTTCTCCTTTTGAACTTTTTCAGGATTCACACTATACGTGCCGCGCGGTTTGTTTATTGCAGATTGCGTTAACTTAAATTTCGCAAATGTGTCATCACATTTTTGAAACTTGTCCAAAATCAAATCTTGCGCGGACCTTGATGTTAGGTCACGGTTATGGTATTTTTAACGCTAGCTTACGCCTATTCTCGTACAGTTGCTAAAAACTTTTTGTTACAAATAAAATACATATATGAAACGCGAAATTTTTCTTGGTCACAAATACTATAATTTAAACACAGTTGTAAAAAGAATTATAGGTATTATATGTAAAATGTAATAAGAGCTGATCTGTTAGCAAGCGCATTTTATCATGACTGGACAACCTTGCATTCGTCGCTTTAAATAGCAATATAGAAGACCGATATTTGCGGCACATCATAATTAATGAATCATATTTCTTTTATATCGCCGTATTAATTACCGTTGCTTCCGTTTCACCTAGTTGTTTCTTATTTAATTATATTATATTAAATAGACAGCTGATCGTGGCTCGCCGGAATTCAGGTCCGCGAAAGTTCGATTTCGAAAATCGAGATTAGACTCTTTATAGCCTAAGTTAAGAAGAGAGAGAGAGAGAGAGAGAGAGAGAGAGAGAGAGAGAGAGAGAGAGAGAATATGCTGTTTTAATTAAATATTTTTAAAACGTATTTTGTCACATTTATAATGCACTTTATTTTTCTTGTTGAAATAAACACTGCATCACTTTAATTTTATTTATACTAGTATATAACAGGCGCGCGCT